CCCCCCACACTCTACAGACAATAGTACTTTTACTTTGTACTTCAAGTATTTTTTAAGGATACTTTGTACTTTTTACTTAAGTACGTTTTGCTTCCAGTACTTTTTACTCTTACTCAAGTCGTTTTATTGTTAATTACTTCTACTCTTACTCGAGTATTAATTCAAAGTAATTTAAGCACCACTGTTGCCAACCTTGGGGATATATATTACACGGGTAAAAATTGATCAGGTTGTTCGGCGTTGTTCAAACAGGAGTGAACAATGTTGTGCTGCACCCCGTGAACAATATTGTTGAACAAGTTGTTCAACCATCAGTACTGTTGCAAGTTGTTAACATGATTGTCAACAAGTTGCAACAATGTTGATGGTTCAACAACTTGTTAACAATATTGTTCACGGGGTGCAGCACAACATTGTTCGCTCCTGTTTTGAACAACTTGCATCAACATGATGATTTTTACGCGTGTACACGGCAAAAAACGCTCAGGTTGATGCAATACTGATGAAAACAGGATTGAACAATGTTTTGCTGCCCACATTGTTCATAGCTGTCAACAACATTGAACAATATTGTTACACCCGATTCATGCTCAACAGCATTGTTCAATATTGTTGACAAGTGTGAACAACGTGGGCAGCAAAACATTGTTCAGTCCTGTTGGGCAACGGTCTCGGCGTTTTTTGCCGTGTACCTAATGACGCAACGCTATTGTGATGTTACACGTACTTCATGTAATACAAATTATAGAGGTTTTACTGTACATTGAAGCATTGCATGTCAAAGCATTGCATTTTAAAGCAAATTGTATGGATTTTTTTTAAAAAATAAAAGACCTTTTCGGGAGCCTATGCCAAAACTGCGAAAACTGAATAAAGTGCGTAGGATTGCGTAGCTTGGCCTGGCCTGCTTTTTGGGTAAAGTTCTGCGCGGTGGGCAGACCAGCTGCAACGCAGGCTACATTTTGCGATTTATTTCAAGATGGCGGACTCGCAATGAGTGGACAACGCAAAACTAGACGAAATAGGGGTTTTAGCACGCTTTAACGTCCTCATTAGCTATAGCTTCATTTTTACTTATGACTTAGCCGAGATTATCCGCTAATTTTAATGTTAAATCATCCATTCTATGCAAATGTTGGCTGGTTTTGTAAATTCTAATTTTGGTTTTTAACAAGCAAAGAAATATGCTAGATGGCAGTGTTTGTGCATCTGACAAGCAGAAAGAAGTCGAAACAACGATTGAAACAAAGAAAAATACTAGTAAACGGCATCTATTTGACGATGTAGATGGTAAGATTGCTAATACTATACAATTATCTATGACCCAAGTAATCAGCACTATCATGCAGCAGACAGTTTTTAGTTTTAAGAGTTCGAAAATTGAATAGTAAATATATAGAGAAATCAAAATTGCATGTCCAAGATCTTGGTTACGACAGTCCACAGTTAGTGGTGAGGCTGGATCTTTATCAGTGCTAATATATCTTTTTACAAAGTGACTATATGACCGGCAGCCGGTCACGGTTTATCAAATACTAAATGGCCGGCAGTCTAGTGACTATAGTTGAATATAAAAACTTTTGTTTGCGGTAACTTTTACCCAGCTTGCCGTTAGCTCATACGACAAGGGCGCTGCGTGCGGAAAGTTAAACGCAGTCGGGGTCGGGATGTGTTTTGTCTGACTTAGCATTGTTTTTTCTTAAAATGTTTTAAACTTTTTTTCCGACTTTTCTAACTTTCAAAAGGTTAGGGGTTAGGGGTTAGGGTTAGAAAAGGGTTTGGGGTTGGGGATAGGTTTATCTTATAAAAATTCAACTTTAACAATAGTCACTAGACTGCCGGCCATTTAGTATTTGATAAACCATGACCGGCTGCCGGTCATATAGTCACTTCGATCTTTTTATATAAGGTACGTTCAACAAATAGAGTTTGTCCTGCTTTGTGCATGGACTTGTTCCATGGGAGGGGGGGGGGGGGGGGATAGCTATTAATCCGTGATTACAAAATAATTGGGATGAAAACATACTTAATTAAAGAGGCTGTTAAGTATGTTCTGCTCTAACCTGTGATCAGGCTCTATTTTACAAATAATAGCCTGACACAATCCTTAATCCGATCGCTTTCCACCCACAGCAAAGTTTATATTTAGTATCCAATCAAAATGTCGCAGGAGAAATTTAAATTTCACACTGCGACAACAACAATCTAATTATAGTTCTGATCACTATAAATATATCAATGACAATATATAATGTAATTAGCACCAACCAATCAAATGACAGATTAAAAAATCTTTTGTCTCATAAACCAACCAGATTTCCAACCGAAATACGGTTGTAAAAACATGGACTTTTGTTAAGATTTGTATCAGGCCTATTTATTTATTTATAGGCCTGATCGCAGGTTAGTTCTGCTCATGCATGTGTTTTGTTTCAAACAATAGAAAATTTAATTAAAATTCCGATCTGGTTACCTCATTACGCATTCAGAATATATTACAAAGGAAAAATTGAACTACTATTAAAAGCAAAAATTTAGCCCCCAAACAACAAATTTTAAAGGAAAACGCTAAGAAGCACTTCTTGTACAGAGGTATGGACAAAAGATTGAAAATATTTGTACACATTTTGCTTCAAAACGACAAATTTAAGATTGAAAATGTTAAGAACCACATCTTTATACAAAGGTATGGACAAAATTTGTACAAATTGCAGTCAAATATTGTCCAGACCTCTGTAAGAAGTGCTTCTTAGCATTTTCCATTTTGGGGGAAAAATGTTTGCTTTAGTAGTTCAATTTTCCTTCGTAATGTGGTAACTTGTGGGCCCACAGATCGGAATTTTAATTAAATTATCTATTGTTTGAAACAAAAGTGTAAACAAAACATGTGCATGAGCAGAGCAGACTTGACAGCCTCTTTAACATTTGAATGCAAAGATTCACTAATGTCACTCGTCCAACAATCTGTGCAAAAAATGCCAAAAATGGTGTGCTGCTATGCCTTCAAATATTTTGATGCAACATGACCTAATAATGGGGCTATTATTACACTGCTGAAATTATTACACTGCTGAAATAGTAATCACAGATGAATATTGAATACTGATCAATGATAACATTGTTTTAAATTAGAATGATATTTCAAGCGATGTTCATGTAAACGTACAATACAGTCTATTCAGAGTCATTATAAATATGCCAGAAACAATGGCTTGCTGTTGAATCTTCGATACATGGCTGAATAGCTAAATTTAGTGAAGATCTGGAAAAGCCCAAAATCCATAATCACAATCACAATTGTTACCACTCAAGAGAGTCAGAAAAAAATAATAATTTCATTTTAGGATTTACTGATGAAGATCTGGAAAAGCCAAATTTCTCAAGAAAACAATCATCAGAAAAAGTTCCATTTATCTTGTCAGATGTTGGCAATCCACCTGTAGTTCAGGTGTGTCCATTTATCCTTGTACAGTATGCGGTATATATATTTACTGTATAATATAGTCATCCACCATATATGCATGAGCTGTTCACACAGCACAATTTGGTATTGAGCAAAGGCTATAGGATTTAATTCTACCTCACATCTATACCTTTTTGTGAATTTTGCCTTTTTTCCACTATTATAATTAAATGTGGTCTGCAGTCTGAAAGTTTTGTTACTTAATTAAAGAGATTTATTTATTCACATGATAACAATGACAATAACAAGACTATAGGCAGGGTGAGTGCAACAGCGTGAGCCAATTACTGAATGTGGGTCCAATGATTTAGACATTTACTGTACTCAACTATACATATGAACTGCACAATTCAGGATTTGTCTTCCAGTCAAAAATCGAGGGGCAAATCACTCCAGAAGTCTCGTACACTGAAAAGTCCTTAATAGTATGTGTCATTGACAATTCATATAAATATAGTTGACAATTCTTGAAATTCATAAAAAAAATCCTCTTATTAAAAATATGAAATGTATATGCCTGAATTGAATGAAAATCACAATATTCTGGAAGAATATGAGGGAATCAACATGCTGTATACATATGTGATTCTGACCACTGCTCTAGTACGAGTATTTTATTCTAATTTTTTCTCATCAATTACTGTAAGTATTTGGAAAAAGAGGCTGAGGATATAATTTTGTTTACTATATAGCGTTACCATTGAACATGGGCGGATTTACTGGGGCAGGGTTGGGGGGGGGGAGGGTTAACCCCCCTCTAGAATCTCTCTAACCCCTCTTATAAAGTGTTCAACCCCACCAAAATTTTGCTTCACCCCTCCTATTTAACCGTAACGCCTAACCCCTGCTGAAGCTCGCTCGGTGATACCGCTTGCACCCCACTAGAAATTTTTCCACCCCTCCTTTAAAAAAAAGAAAATCCACCCTTGCCATTGAAAACAATAGGGAAAGGTCTGACAAATTCTTAGACTATAAAATTTCTGGTACAGTTTTTGCAGTGTTTTGTACGTCCCTCGTCAAAATGATTTTTTAAAAGAGTTAATACTTAAATGTATCGAATATCGATTTTTTACTTTGTCTTTGAGTTTCATTTATGGCCCAATCAGCCATTTGGCAGATTTGCATTGCTCTCAACCAATGACAGTGTGTGATTGCCAAACTTTTACGATCTTCTATTTTTTGTTTGCAATGACGTAATTTTGGGATTTTAGTTGACGGGCAGGTATAACAAAAAATGGCTATTTTAATGTTTTGATCGAGTTTAGAGACAGTTTAAGACTCAAAAGATGAATTACCATTGAGTTTTTCTTGCTACAACCATTCTGATAGGAGAAAAATCGTCCACAAGTTGTTTGATTACCCGTCATTTGGATGAAAAGTCACGTGATTGCAAACAAAGAATACCTGCGAAAGTAAACGCTATTTATGTATTTTATTAAATAAACGCTATTTATTTAGAGAACCTGGACAAAGATGGATAAATAATCGAAAGTATTGAAAAACATTTATGTCTAATTAACTATTTCCTTGTGCATGTATTATTACTCCATTATTGTAGAATGTTATTAGCCCTTATCCCACTCACGAAAACAAGGCTTTAAAACCAAGGCCTCATTTATCCAACGGTATATGGTGCATTGAAATGTATTTAATTTCAAAGGTGCCATCTACAATCAATCAATATTTACGTGAATATCAAAAGGAAGGGATAGCGTTCCTGTATAGACAATATTCCAGTGGGAAAGGAGCCATTTTAGCTGATGATATGGGCTTGGGAAAAACTGTTCAGGTAAAGAATTCTAATTTGCAAAATCACTCGTGCACCAAAATGTTTAATTTAACTACATATACTGTACGTCTGTATTAGAGACCTTACTAGACCATGGGGCGAAATTTGTAAACAGCTTAGAAATTGAAATTCGTTCCTGAATCATGAAACCAATCAAAACTCGGTCAATAGGTGCAAGAATATATACTAAAAGTAAATACACAAATTTGTTCAAAAATTTCCTTTGCAAAATCATGAAATTCACGCGACTTTTCGTATAAACAAAACCCGTCCGCCATCTTGGATTACAAGGCTCCACTTAGATACTTCATGTTATTTTGGCCCCTGTGACAGGATACTTCATGTAATTTAAAGTTATTTTTATTAATTTTTAATCAGGTAAACATTTGCAAAATTGAATAAACACGCTAAACGTCGAAAATTTAAGGCGTACTGGAAAATTTCGTAAATAATATATATTCTTTTAATCATATCGTTTATAATTTCTTTCAATTTCTCAAGTAATCAAGAAGCGCGAATATGCACGCGCGATGGTACACAGGCATGTTCACTATTAGGATATGTTTATGTAATATGTATTATTTTTAAAAATCCCCAAAAGTAGAAAAAGGAAAATCGGTTCATTAAGTATAGACATCACTACGGCATAAAATGGAAGGAACTGTTCATTACACCGCCACGAAACCGAAAACGTTCACCACACCAGCAGGGACCTTTCATGTAATAATCTTTATATAGACATCACGGATGAGAAAGAAGGAACTGTTTATTTTTTGCGATAAAACATCATATACTAAAGGGTGGCAAATCCAAGTCATCCTCAACGGCGCTGATTTGAGATGAATCATCGGGTACTTCGGTTTCGTTGTCATCTTTCCCATTCCCACAGTCCTTGCATCTGCACATGTCTGTACATAACAATTTGTTCGTTAAACATGAACAGCCACCCTTAATGCACTTGGTAGTCTTACAGCCACATTTAACAACCTTCAGTAGACATTCTGGAGCCGCAGGTTTGGTCTTCCACACAACATCAATAACACCGTCTTTGACAGACCAGCCGTAGCCGTCAGGAGACGGAGCATCTATGGTTGAATAGTTCAACTGGTACCATATTAGTCTTAATTAGGTCTTTACTTCTAGGGGGCCATTTGCTCTGCTCTGGCTGGACATTGTTTATTTTGTTCTTCAAATAAACACCTTTAAAATGGAAAAATGTCCCTCTGTTGTAAAGTTGTAATGAGTATTTATAGGATTATACGTTTGAGGGAAGAACAAATAAATTTGAATAATTTCGTAATTTATACATTAATTTTGTACCCATTTATACATTTCGTTTGTCGAGTCAAATACAAACAACGAATTCATGCAACAAATTTGATGGGCTAACCAAATAAGCTTGTAACAAACTAAACCAAATAACAAACTGTCCAAATATTGCTGTATATTTGTACTCCTTAGAATAATACACCACTAAAAAATCTAAAAATTCTAACCTGACATAAACAATTCTTTAAATGTATTTTCAGAACTGCCTTCCTGACTTGTTTGATGCCTGTCAATTCTACTACTTCTAATCTCATTTTCTAAAACTTCTGAAGAGTCATTTTCATCACTTTCATCTTCAACACTAGAAACTTGACTTGTAGGCAAGTACTGCTGTGCTATGTCACCAGCTGTTACATTTTGACAATATACAATTGTGGATTCATTCCTAAAAGAATACGGTATTATCAGTACAGGCATGTTAATTGTCAAAAACATATATAATTTTAGTTCTATTTGAGTGTATAGCATTGATCATAATGTTTTCACACTTATAAACGAAAAACACTGAGTGATTTACAAACCTTCTTGATGGAATGTGAAACACAAGTTGCTCAAAATCCCTTTGTAATCTCACTCTCAACATATCAGATCTTAAAGAGAAAAAATGGGTAATTATCCAACTAAGACAATCAAGAGATGTGACATTTTTACAAAAAAAATGTTTCTAAAATAATAAATTAATGCATATAATGATATATAAGCCCATACCGTATGTTTTCTAGGTGCACACGTTCTTCAAGCTGTATATGTTTGAGAAGTAGTTGCTGCAATTTCGTCAAGCGCAGAATCTCACAATTCACTTCTAACCTTTCTTTGATCACTATTTTACAGAAAGCATCATAACCTGCTTTGTGCTCAGAAAAGAAGTTTGTTTTCCTAAAACGTAACATGTAACCATAAGGGACGGACCATTAGAAAAGTGATAAGTGATGGGGGGGAGGGGGGATTTTCTAAGGGGCAATATTTTTTTTTTTGTACACCTATAGAAGAAATTTTTTTTTTCTCACTTGATGGCTGGAAATATATATTTTTAAATTAAAATTTATAGGCCTATCTTCCAAGGAAGGATTTTTTTTGCACTATGGCTGGGAAGATTTTTTTTTTCTAATTTGTTTCTGGGAATAATTTTTTTGGGGGGTTTTTGCCCCCCCCCCCCATCACTTTTCTAATGGTCCGTCCCTAAATAAGAAATGTACTTTATTTCCTATTTGTATTGTTAATTTTCAAGTGAAGGTAAACAACAACAAAGACATCTGAAACATTATCTATAAAAATTAACTGTAAAAATCAAAACTTACTTTTCACCAACAGAGTCATTTCCTTTTAAAACACGGACATAATCATTGTAGCAGCTCTTGTGGTACTGGACCTCAATACATGAACAGTCTTTTCCTTCGATTTCCTCTAATGTCCTTCAAGATAGTTTCGTCATCTATCCTTTCAGCAGCACTACGAAGCTGGCCTAAAAAGTGGGAAAATGTGTGCCTTTGAAAATGTGTGCCTAAAAAGTGGCGAAATGTGTGCCTTTGAAAATGTGTGCCTTTGAAAATGTGTGCCTAAAAAGTGGGAAAATGTGTGCATTTTGTGCCTTTGATAGACTACACTTGATAAGTTGACTATAAATCATTATATTTTAAGCAGAAAATAACCAACGTGATAAGAATACACACATACTGAACATCCCCTCTACTTTGGGCTTTCTATCTCAATCTTACCTGCATCTGATGTTTCTGCTTTAGACAATGATTCATGCACCCACTTTCCCTTAATCTTAGTCCTTTTAGTTAACTTTTTGCAAATAATACACAACTTGGGTAGAATTGTATGTGGTTGTTGAGACATCTTTGGGACCTTGCTTCGGAGAAATGGCATTTTGGGTTTTGATGGTGGTACAGCTGGTTCTTCTTCCATTTTCCTTTTTCTCTCTAAAGTTCTCCTTGCCTGCATATAGAAATAAATAATCTACTATCTAACACAATGGTACATATATATAACTACAAAATACTACTACAAAAAAAAGGCTATTACGGTATTGCATAACATTTTAGCATAGCTTTTTAATACTTTATAAGAAATACATTTAAACAAATTTAATATAACTAATGCAAATAATACTCCCATTCCAAAAAAAAGTATAATATTACAAATTACAATATGCTGTAAAGTTAAATTGACAAACTTACTTTGTTTATAATAGAAATATTAGTAAATTTTTGATAGCACTCCTCGTGGAATCCAAAATCTGGATAACGTTGTTTGGCATCTTCCAACCGAATCAGGCCACTATTTATATCAACGAAATCGGTCAATCCTTTTCTTTCCAAAATGAGAGCAATGTCAAATTGTTTTCCGTATAAACCTTTCCAATCTTCGATTTGTTTTACTAATGTCTCTAACCTCTTACTTGTTAGCGGTTTAATATCGCACTTTGCATCATCAACAATATGTAAATAACACTTGTTATTCAAATAAGGCAAAATTTGGGCAGAAGTTGAAGCCGCCATGTTGTTTCTAACCCTATCAACATTACACCCCTATTATCCCGTCAAAATCTTGATATGTTCCCTGTTAAACCCCCATTATCCCCGAAGCTGTAAAAAGGGTCAAAAAGATAAAATTTTCACATTTTGCAAAGGAAATTTTGGAACAAATATTTGATTTTATATTTATCATACTGTGATCTAACTAAATAACTAAAGTTTAGGTAGTTTCGTTATTCAGGAACGAAACTGAAAGATAGCAATTTCGCCCAATGGTATACGATTTAGGACGGCAACGCGACGGCAACGATTACCAATACAATAAATAATTGAAAAGAATTCAATAATATATGAGTAATTTAGACATTGTCCTTCGCTCTGTTTACAACGCCAAATCACAGATTTTCACGTCTTGATACAACGTCAACGGCTGCATTTCAATCCGCAACAAGTGCAACTTCAAACTGGGTTCAGCAGAACTCTTCCCAACCATAAAACCCATGTCTTCAACTTCTAAGACTGTATTAAATTCATACGATTGATAATATACGACGAATTATCTTTTATACCTGTACTACCATTTATTTGAAGGAGTTTGTTTTGGCCGTCGCGTTTCCGTCCTAAAATCGTAAGGTCTCTAATGTACATTGACGGAGACGTCATCTCGCTCCGTTTAGAAATCGTGCTCAAATTGTTGCCGCAAAAGTGACGTTTTCAAACAATTTCGCTCCGGCGTAGTGTGAACGTAATCTCATCCTGCATGAGAGCTGACAGTCACGCAACCTTGGTTAGCTGTTCTTAATGCTTTCCCAACACTTGTAACACAACGAACGTTGTGTCAAATTTTGGAGATAATCGGTTTAAATCCGAGTTTCAAAATCGCAATTTTGTACCCCACGTGAAAACGCACAAGTTGTTACAGATCTGCAAACAAGTTGTTACAGATCTGCAAATAAGTTGTTACAGATCTGCAAACAAGTTGTTACAGATCTGCAAATAAGTTGTTACAGATCTGCAAACAAGTTGTTACAGATCTGCAAATAAGTTGTTACAGATCTGCAAACAAGTTGTTACAGATCTGCAAATAAGTTGTTACAGATCTGCAAACAAGTTGTTACAGATCTGCAAACAAGTTGTTACAGATCTGCAAATAAGTTGTTACAGATCTGCAAACAAGTTGTTACAGATCTGCAAACAAGTTGTTACAGATCTGCAAACAAGTTGTTACAGATCTGCAAACAAGTTGTTACAGATCTGCAAACAAGTTGTTACAGATCTGCAAACAAGTTGTTACAGATCTGCAAACAAGTTGTTACAGATCTGCAAACAAGTTGTTACAGATCTGCAAACATGTTGTTACAGATCTGCAAACATGTTGTTACAGATCTGCAAACAAGTTGTTACAGATCTGCAAACAAGTTGTTACAGATCTGCAAACAAGTTGTTACAGATCTGCAAACAAGTTGTTACAAATCTGCAAACAAGTTGTTACAGATCTGCAAACAAGTTGTTACAGATCTGCAAACAAGTTGTTACAGATCTGCAAACAAGTTGTTACAGATCTGCAAACAAGTTGTTACAGATCCGCAAACAAGTTGTTACAGATCTGCAAACAAGTTGTTACAGATCTGCAAACAAGTTGTTACAGATCTGCAAACAAGTTGTTACAGATCTGCAAATAAGTTGTTACAGATCTGCAAATAAGTTGTTACAGATCTGCAAATAAGTTGTTACAGATCTGCAAATAAGTTGTTACAGATCTGCAAATAAGTTGTTACGTACAGATCTGCAAACAAGTTGTTACAGATCTGCAAATAAGTTGTTACAGATCTGCAAACAAGTTGTTACATATCTGCAAACAAGTTGTAACAAGGTTGTTGTCAAGCCGATATCAGGGATGTGTTCGCACTGCTTGTTCCCAGTTTCCCCCGCCATAAATAATGACCGGTCCAGCGGTCCCTAATCACTGCCTACGCTTGCACAGACCGAATTTAAATTTTAAACTGATAATATATATTCGCAGCAGTGACGGATTAAAAGCTTTCCGAAATTACACACGTGGTGTTTTCATTAAAAAACAATTAAATTTTAATCTACACCGATCTTCATTACAAATTTTATTTCGTTGAAGCATCGCAATCGCAAGCTGTGTACACGATGTCTTCCACAAAAAGCTTCGATGTTATCTTTTTACCAGTACAAATGATCTGTTGTATCGGAATCCTAGCGAATTTGATGCTATTGATCGCTTTTATTAAAGACCCTTTAAAATGTTTTCGAAATTCTGCAACGTATCTTGTTGGCAATCTAGCTTTTTTCTGACTTGCTCGTTAATGTTGTGTTGATAACAAGCACTTTTCTGGAGTCCGAGAATGCGGTCGTTGTCTTTTTGCAATATTTTTCATTTTATTCATCAATGTTGACAATTTTTTCGATCGCTCTTGATCGATACTTGATGATCACCTATCCGTTCAAGCATCGGTTCGTAATGAGCGGAGAAAAAATGGGAATATGGATCGCTCTTATTTGGTTTCTAAGCTCCGTTCATCCCTTGAAGAAGATTTTTATTCACAACGAAAATGATGTCAAAGCAAAACCAGGGGTCGGTTCAGTTTCGATATACTACAGTATTCACCGCCGTTCTCTATGGCAAAACTTATTTTGCGTTACGAAAACAAGCGAGATCCATGATTGGTAAAAAAACTATATTTTCTTCGAAGCAATGTCAGTATGCGCCCAACAAAAGCATTTCAATGGAAAGCGGAACTTGTGTTGAAAGTGAAAATCGCAAACGTGCTCAAAATCAGGATAATCGCGTTCAAAATGGGATTGAACGTGATCAAAGCTTGGATGAACGTGCTGAAAATCAGTATGAACGTGCTGAAATTGAACGTTTCAAAAGTCATAGTGAACATGATCAAAGCGTGGATGAACGTGCTGACAATCAAAATCATCGTGCACAAAACCAGTATGAACGTGCTGAAACTGAAAATGAACGTGCCAAAAGTCAGAGTGAACGTAATCAAAGCCTGGATGAACGCGCTGAAGATCAAAATCATCGTGCCCAAAAACAGAATGATCGTGCTCCAAATCCATATGAACGTGCTGAAATTGAAAATGAACGTGCTAAAAATCACAATCAACGTGCTCAAAATAAAAACGAACCTGTTGAAAGTCAGAATGAACGTGCTCAACGTGAAGACCTTTCTTCCAACAAAAGGCCTAAAAATTCCCAAGTAATCAACAATACAAGGGAACAGAAGTTCTTAAACACTATAATTATAATTGCATGTATTGCTGTCGTTACAGTGATGCCATGCAGGAACAATTTATAGCCTGCTTTCTGTTACGGAGACAAACATCACGATTCTTGGTGTTTTAAGTGCGATATTTTGTCTCAATTTTGCCGCTAATCCTTTTGTCTATTGTTTGCGTTTAAAGCGATATCGGAAAACGTTTAAAATCGTCTATGGTTGTAAACGTTGAATTCAGACTACACTGGAACGAAATAATGCCGAAAAATTAAAGTAGCACTCGTGTAAACCCAAAGTATTTCAAATACATCAAAGAAATTTAAACGAAAAGCATTCGAATTTACTGTTTTAGGACCTGAGATGCTTGCATGGTTTACAAGCGGTACAAAAAGTGACGTTCTCAAACAATTTCGCTCCGGCGTATTGTGAACGTAATTTTGTTTTTTATTAATTTTTTAATGAACAATATTTTAACACGGTACAATTTCAACTAATAAAAATAATTATGTACACAATATAAAAAGAAAAAAGGTGATCTTCCAACTGGCCGTGCTCACACAAGTAGAAAGAAATATATTATTTACAATAATATCTCGGCCTGCATGAGACTTGGCAGTCACTCAACCTTGATCAGCTGTTCTTAATGCTTTCTCAAACGCTTACCAAACAATCATATTTTTTGTAATCAGCATTTTCTGGTTTTCTTCACTGAAAATTTGGTAAAACTACATCTGTAAGGTTGGTTGCGCAATGTCCATTTTTCCAGAACGTACGTACTAGATGTGTGCATGCATCGGATCGGATTGGACGTTTATAATCCGACAATTGGCTAATGTTTAAAATCCGATCCGATCCGAAATTGTCTAATCCGAATCCGATCCGAGTTTTGATAAAGAATTCCAATTCGATCTGATCCGAAGAATTCTTTAATAAAATAGATTTCTCTCACGTCCAATTGAAGTATCAAACGAATAATGCAGCGACAATCGCGATAATGCTTTGATAAATGCATGGATAATTAATTCTTGTGATAATGCGTGGATAATTAATTCATTTTATTTGGGATATCGAAGTCTGATCCGATCCGACTACGAAACAACTTTATCGATCCGATCCGAAATGAATATTTTGGTTCCGAAATCCGAACGAATCCGATCGGATCGGATTTGCACACTTCTAGTACGTACGTCTATCGTGTGAAGATGTTAAAGCTTGATTTCCATTAAATCGTAATTATCGCAAGAACCGCATCGCGGTTGAGAGGAACGCCAAAACGATTTTAGGTTTTGAACATTTTTCATCGAAAATACGAGGTATTGAAAAAAATTGCTTCTTAAATCGTAGTTGGAACACTCATCAAATCTTCATTTTGTTAATCTCGAGTTTGAAATGTCCCCTGTAACAATTTGTGACTGTTAAACTGACGTCTTGGTATACACCTTTTTAAAACGCACAAATTCCCTACCTCCTGACAGGGAAATTAGCCTCTCTAATATATTATGAATATTATAAATTTGTAACATTGCCAACAGTTGGAACCGTATACAAATTTTGGTATAATTCGAGTAATATTTATTATGACAACTGCGGATTGAGAGAGATACAAGCAGAACTTCGATGTTTCGAGCGAAGGCCGTTCGTCGGGAAGTAATAGGGACCTTTAGCAAATAGGTGACGGCAACGCGACGACAACGGCCAAACCATACTCATTCAAATAAGTAACTTTAAGATCAACATGTCTTGTATTATTCGTTGTATGAATTTATTGCAATTTAGAAGGTTAAGACATAGGTTTATAGTTGAAAAGACTTCTACTAAGCCAATTTGGCGACGACGACTTCTCGCGGCTTGAAAGGCAGACGTTATGTACAAAACATGAAAATCTTTGGTTTGCTGTTGTAAATAGAGCAAGGACGACGTCTAAAACTCCCAAGGGACCTTTAATTATGCATTTTCTTTCTACACTGTCATAAATTTGACTGTATTAATAGCCGTCGCCGTCCTGCTAGCTAAAGGTCCCTAGTGACTTCCCAAGGAAGGGTCTTCGCTCGAAACGTCGAAGTTTTGCTTGTATTTTGTCAGGTAGTAGTATCTCTCGCAATCCGCAGCTATCTTGTTATATCGTCGCCACCAACACTGGCACAGACCGTTCGAGATTATATTTATTATGCCATTTCTTGTTTCTCAGATTACAGGTCGTTGAAAATAGGATTGGAGTTGTGATTTCTTCTTTTTTTTTATTTCATAGGTGATTGGTTTTATTTCTGCAGTACTTGGAAAGACTGGAACAAAGTTGGATATTTATGGAAAGTTTTTATCTGAGAATGATAAGGTGTGCACAATAACAATTCAATTTCCAGAAATTCAATTGGCTGTGAAACGCCAATGAATGCGTAAATAATAGTGGTCGAAAGAGTATATGCGGTCATTAATCAACCCTTGCAAGTGATGTCATAACACATCAGTTGGCGTAATTGTGTGCGTAATTCGAATTCATAAAGTGGTTTCCATCCTGGCAACCATTATTTTTGCCACCAAAAATTGCGGATTCCTTAGCGTGACGTAACATTCCCGCATGAGTGCAAGACCTGAATACAGCTGTATGCTATGCTTTAAAGTGTTTACTACCCAAACAACACCACCACCATCCTAAAAAGCATGCTGGAGAAGATCTCACAATTATCCTAGGAGACTCTTTGACAAGAGGAATCAATACGAGGAACATAAGAAGGTCAACCAGTAAAAATGTAATTATCCGTACTTTTCCTGGGGCAGCGGTTAAGGATATGGTAGATTACATTAAACCATCCTTGCGTTTACAACCTGCCCATATTATTATCCACGTTGGGACCAACGATCTGAAATCAAGTGAGGTGAAAACGCTAACTGAAAACATATCCAAGCTCTGTGATGAGATCTATAACTTCGATCCCAAGATCGACATCACACTTTCACAAATAATAACTAGAACTGATAGCCCAACCTCGTTCCCAGGGTATTTAGGGAATACCCTGGTATGGGCTGGTCACGTGCCTCGTCCAAAATTTAGCGCCCGAGGGGGTGTGGGAAAAGTATCAAATTACATGATTCCAGTGGAGATATTTTGTTTACAGTAACAGTTAAAAACATTATTAAGTTCAAAATACTTGCTAATTTTTGTTTATTTTCTTTGCTTTGAATTTACAAGAACATTCTTACATTTTTACCAACAGTCAAGTCAAGAAACCAAGCAAATCGTTACTCACAGTGCTCTCTCGTGTTGTTATTCAATGCCGTCTCTTCACACTCGAGCGCGGTTTTATAACAAACGTTTATTATGAGCTTTCAGTCATCATTTCTACATATGTAATGTTTTTAAAATACGCCATTAGATTTGTCCTTTCTTGTAAATGTTTATATGCTTTGCACCGATTTAATTACTTGATACTACGTCTACGGGTCTTGTTTATAAGATTGAAAGAAACAGTATTGTATTGTCTGGGACTAGAGCCCAATATTAGCAAATGTAAACATTTGATACTAGCCAAACAGAGAAAGTCTGTCAGTGATTATAAAATTTTGGATTTAGTACATAGTATCCGGTGATTATAGTCAGGCTTTAGCCTTTTTCTTGGTCTTTATTAATCATAATATTTTCCTAATATACTAAAACTATATATCACAAATTTACAGTGTCAGACGCGCACAGACTGTCATACGAATAAACATAAATTTTCGAGTTTTCTACTTCTACTAACATTTTTAAAGTTTTCATTGTGAATCATCTGTTTATTTCTAGTTCATTAGTCATTAATATGCTCTAAAAAGCAAGGCTCTCAAATATATTTGTATATTTATTTGATAGTGTCATAGTGATATATGCATTTACAAGCAATCCTGGATATGATAAAGACGATACAAGCTGTCCATTAAAAAATAACGGGATTCTATAGTCCACAAAGAAAAATATTTAAATCTCAATTGTATTATTAAGAATATATATAAAGCAAAAAATTTAAACTTGTGTGAGTTGTGTCAAAACGAAAGCTGTTTATAAAATTTATAAATGTTGTAATGCACCTATCAATGTTAAGCCCCAGAGGTGGGGGGTTGGGCATAGGTGGGGCATTTGATTTTTTGAGCAAATTTTCAATCAAATGCCCCACCGTCGGGCAATAAATATTGGTCAAATGCCCCACCATTTTGCAATAAATTGCAATAAATACTATATTAATAAAAGTCATTCGGTTCAAATTGCCCCAACTCGGGGCCAAAATGCTAATCAAAATCCCCAGGGTGGGGATGCAATTGATGATCAAATACCCCACATATGCCCGACCTGGGGGTTAACATTGATACGTGCATAAACACTATTACTAATATAAAGTGCCCATTGAAAGACATAATATAGTATATTGTGATTATTGTCGTTTGACTTATCTTTGATGCATGATTTTAATACTGTAGATTTTCAACTGACAGCTAGACTTTAACATATACTATGATTGTTGAGTTTCAGCAATGCCAAGGGCCAATGCAGGAAGTTTTATAAGCTTTTATAGTCAACAATCTGGATACAGTTGGCGTCGGGAGTATCTAATTGGAGCGGGTAGCGGGTCGCGGGTAAAAGGAGCGGGTCGCGGGTAAAAGGAGCGGGTAATTAAGGGCCAGGTGCTAAGCGCCGGTGGGGAATTTTAAAGAAAAAAATACATTTTTTTATGAAAGTGTAACAACATGAGGACCATTTTTACTAAGTAAAACCATTGACTTCACATAAAAAATCTCGAAAATTCTATCAAATGTTAAATTGACAGATATTGGACAGCCTGAACATGTCTTATTATGACGTGCTGAAAATACGTACACACCAGCGCACGTACGTTTTTGGGTCACCAAATGGACACAAATTATTATAACATGCACAAGTGCTACTCAAAACTCTACAGTCTGTCTCGGCTATTGCCTCACCAAACTGTGGAAAACTATGAACATATTGAACGCGGTTTGCACGGTTAGGGTTTACGTTTGCAGAACACCATTGGATTTATTCAGAAACTGATAGTGGTGTAGCATATATACACATTTTTAGACTACACGTACAATAGAGCAAAAGTTTCCAAACACAGGGTGTTTTAATAAGGCGCTCACGTTCAGTTTAAACCAGTGAACTCTAAAGCCCCGTTTACACTACGCTCAATTTTTGGTACGGCACGGATAAAATCGGTAAAAACCAAAAAAGTGGTACGGTTCCAAAAATTGAGTGTAGTGTAAACGGGGCTTAAGGGAACTGGAAAGATAACTTAGCCGCCACCTTTGAAGCCACTCATGATGGCCGCCATGTACGTAAGGCATATACGTATATAAAAAACCGGATGGCTAATAAAAACTTGAAATTCGGATAAATTTATAGTAAAAAATGGTTTATATTTTCCTTGGCTCCATAGAGTTAGTAATGCATAACCACAGTTTTGTGAGGCAATAGCCGAGACAGACTGTAGAGTTTTGAGTAGCACTTGTACATGTTATAATACTTTTTGTCCATTTGGTGACCTAAAAACGTTGCGCTGGTGTGTACGTATTTTCAGCACGTCATAATAAGACATGTTCAGGCTGTTAAATATCTGTCAATTTAACATTTGATAGAATTTTCGAGATTTTTTATGTGAAGTCAATGGTTTCACTTAGTAAAAATGGTCCTCATGTTGTTACACTTTCATAAAAGAATGTCTTTTTTTTCTTTAAAATTCTTCACCGGCGCTTAGCACCTGGGAAATTACCCGCTCTTTTTTTAATTGCCCGCTCCTTTTACCCGCTCCTTTTTTAATTACCCGCTCTTTTTACCCGCTCCTTTTTTAATTACCCGCTCCTTTTACCCGCGACCCGCTCCTTTTACCCGCGACCCGCTCCCCGCTCCAATTAGATACTCCCGTTGGCGTCTTGGCGATATTTCGGAAATCAAAAGATCTCGCTATTTCGTTGCAATTCATCTGGCGCACGCGCGCCATCATGGCGTTCAGTCGGGGATTTTTGTGCTCCCGCAATTTATTAATAATTTTGTATATTTATTTGATTTTAAATGGTTCAATAGTCAAAAAGCAAAGGGAAAAATGTTTATCTTGTACCAGTTCAATTTTATACGTGTCAGAATTACTCGCTTGCTCAAGACCTGTCTATAACGGAAATATGCGAAGAAAAACCGTTAAACATAAACCGTTAGGAAACTCGATGTACTTCCTCCTTGGATCAAGATTGTTTATAAACACTTCTATTGCTATTGTTCTTCTACGTTTATCTGGTGATATTGAAAGTAATCCTGGTCCTGTGTTTGAAATCCCTGGTTGTTTAAAAAGGGGGCTCAAAGTAAGTCATCTTAATGTACGAAGTTTACTTCCGAAGATTGATTTGGTACGCATGTTTATCAGCAAGAATCCATTTGATGTTTTTACCTTATCTGAAACTTGGCTTAAACCTACAGTTACTGATGCAGAAATTAACATACCAAACTATCTAATTACTCGTCAAGACCGTAAAGATAAAGCTGGTGGCGGGACAGCTATTTACGTCAAGGAGAGTTTACCATATCGAACACGTGATGATTTATGTAGTAAAACAATTGAAACATGTTGGATTGAGATTATACGACCTCGTACGAAATCAATGTTTATTTGCTCGGCCTATAGACCGCCAGAACTTCCACTAAGTAAATTTATCGAGGAACTAAACAAAGATCTTGCCAAAATTCCAGAAAACGCAGAAATTGTTTTATTGGGTGATTTCAATGTCGACTACAAACAACGCTCAACGGATAGATCGCGCATGCAAACACTTGCGCGAGCTCACTCGATCGAACAAATCGTTACGTCACCAACAAGAATTACGGAAAAAACGCAATCAATGATTGATTTGATTTTTGTGAACAATAATCCACGCGTTGTTTCTAGCGGAGTTTTTCCTTTGTCAATCAGCGATCATTCCCTTATATACTGCACAATTAAAGCTGGACTTCCTAAATCTGGCGGATGTTATAGGGACATTAATTATCGTTGCTACAAACATTACAATGAAGGCAAATTTAGAGACGATGTAGGAAAATCAGATTGG